AACCTTTCCAAACATAGAGTCACTGTCAGTGTGAAACACGCTCCCAGGCATAGAGTGACGGAGAGCAACGCACATAGCAGTGAGTTCAGCTTCATTAGTGGTGGGCAGGTGCTCAATCAAAGGCCCACACACAATACAACATGGTGTGCGAGCAGACGGGTCGAGAGGAACAACAGCCCATCCTGCGGCAGAGAACTGTGGCCAGTCACCTTCGAAGACCGACCCATCGAGAAAAACGTCACCAGATAGCTCCATGGGGGATCCCAGGAACAAACATTCACGATGCACACCATACAGGTCAGAGGGGGAAACCTCAGGCAGAGGCACGAGACAACGTTCAACCAAGGCCAGAGCAAGAGGAGAGCTCACGGCGGCGGTACTGAGCCCCTGGACGAACGAAGGTGGTTCCTCTCCCGCCTGCTGGGTGCACTCACAAACAGTGTGCCTGTGAAGCAGAGTGCCACTGACCTCTTCCTCACGCACATCTTTACAACCACGGCAGTAGGGTTCCACATCATAACCACAACTCCATTGCCTGTGCATGGGCCACTGGCCCCCAACAAAGCAAGACCGCAGATGGGCCCTCTGCTCGGGGGGGGGGGGCTTTATATAAAAAAACTTGGCAATGGGCTGCACGAAAAATCCGTTGGCAAACTTAGGGAGGTTTAATGCTCAGCAACTTGCTTACACTGCCAAAGATAACAAGCGTGCGTGACCAGCCTCTCAACAACAGACCCACACACACCTGAGAGGGGTCAATGAGAACACTCCCTGGGAAAATCCACTCCGACATAGAGCGCACCTGAACATTAACTCGCTTAAGTGTAGCAACAGCAGCCGAGAAGGGGCCCCGAATGGGCGACCAGGGGGATGCAATGCCTTGGAAGTGGCAGACAGCAGCAAGGCTGCCCGCTTCAATGGATCGTTTCGGGAGCCACTCTTCCCAGAAAGCCTTCAACAAAAACTTCACTGGGAGCCGCGTGGCCTTGAACATCGGATCTAAACTGCGCGAGTGGGCAATCGTGAGAGCGAGAGTCCTGGAGTGCCCGTCAGGGCGATGATCTTGAAGCTTGCCAGCCAGAGAGCGCAACTGATTCAGCTCGCCGTTGTTGAGACCAAGAACAGACGTACCGTAAGTGACTGCACCTTCAAGCGCAGCTCTGGACATGGTGCCAAGCGTCTTGCGCCTGGGCCGACCACGCTTCAATGTAGACATCCGAGCGCGCCTCGCAATAACTGTAGCCATGCGCTGCTTCACAACAGGTTTGCCACGAACTCGGCCCGCAGCGAAATCAATTCCAAGGTTCCTCTCGGTGTTGGCGGCCGCCGCACCCATGGACTTCAGCTTGGTAGCCAAGACTCTGCGCACGACGATGGTGTTGGACAGAGCGCGACTTTTGTCAACCGCCACCTTCATCTCGATCTCAGTGAGCAACTTCAGCAGCAACCTAGAAGCTCCACTGAGATCTCGTACCACACGTGACGGCGTGCCTTGCCGCTGGAGCCCGAAATCATCAGTATTGGTGCTGAGCATGACGCACCTGAAAGAGTTCTGCGCCTGACGCAGCGGTCCAAGTAGCCGCAGCTGCAACATCACTGTGGCAAAATGGCAGCCTGGCACGATGGTCTGCTCAACATGGATGAGATCACTGACCGCGCCCTGCATGTCCAACGTGCGAGGATCCGGTACATGGAAATCAATAGCTTCAGCATCCATAGCGGAAGCTCGCTCTCGATGACAGCCTGAATCAAGTGATGATGTTTGACAAACTCAAACGCTTTCTTGAGATCGAGCAAAATGGTTGCGGTTGGCATGCCTCTGGCTGTAGAGTACTCAGACCAAGCATTGGATATCCAGACAAATTTCTCCGAGGAGCGTCCCTTGACAGACCGCCAGAAACTCTGGAAATTCTTCTTCTGCCAGACGTGAACCAAGGGCCTTCGGAGCCTGCGTTGAATCCTACAGAGCACATGGGGGGGCCCCGGAGACCGAACCCCACCAAGACGCTTCAGAATAAAGACAACCCGAATCCAAGAGCGAGGCCATTCTAGGTTGCTTTCAATAGAACCAATGCTATCACATAATATTAGCAGAGCTTCATCTGGTAGCAATAAGAAATGTCTAGGAGCCACTTGATCGAGCCCTGTCCCCGTAGAGGCCTTAAAGGCTTTCAGCACCACCTTCAATTGTTCCACCGTAGGAGGAGGGGGGGTTCTCCGAGAGACAAAGGCCAGACGAGTTCGGGATGAGCAGCAGACACTTGCCACCAACCTCCCCATTCACGTTGCAAAGCCTGCGCCTCCTCCCGAGAGGTAGCAGGCCTGTGAGCACTGTGCTCCATGCAAGAGGGTTGCCAGGCAGTTGGGAGCGACGAATGCGAAAACAACGCTGAAGCACCATTCTCTGAATGCTTGTCAACCCAATGCTTCCATTCAATCTCTTTTTGCTTGGCAGCCCTCTTAGCTTCGGCCTCAGCCGCAGCGCGCGCCCAGTGTAGAAGAACATGCACCACTGGGGCAGGAAAAAAGACGTGCTTTCGCAAGACAGCTCGACCAAGCCCAATACCAATCAGCATCAGGAAGGAAATGAGTGCGAGCGAGAGAATCCAGGCGATTAACTGCTTCGCTCCATACCTCAAACGAACGAGGCCCCAGGAGGTCTCCGGGAGCAGCTGGAACCTTTTTCCACCGAGCTCCAACTTGAGAGACTCGTGGGAACCTTGGAAGCCCAGGGCGCCGAAGGATCTTGCCGGTGATTCTGAGGTCCTCTGAGCGCCCAATATACTTCTGAGAATCCTCTGGAGCAACCTGGAAAGTCTTTAGCCACTCGCCTTCGCATGCCTGAATAAACATCTTCCAGCTAGCATCGACGGCGTCGCACTCGTCAACCTGCATGCTGAGAATATTCCACCGATTTATGTCAGGCGGAAGCGCGCAGCCAAAGGGCACAGCAACAGGAAACCGCCGAGGAACCTGTACCACTTGGACGGTAGCGTCTGCTGGCAGTGCCTTGAGTCGTAATTCAACTGGGTAATGCGGCGCAGTGGTAATGTCCGTGCGGGCAGCCACAACGCCCTCTCGAACAAGCGAAAAGCTGACCACACAATAGTCTATGGTGTTGTTCGCTGGTCGACACGTGCCTCGATCTGGATAAAAAACTCGAGCGTCAATAGCAGCAGGCCGCCCACTAGATACTAACTGAGCTGACTCGATCTGCCAATCTGCGGCGACGGCGAAAGGGGGCCCCACCTGCTTCAGGAAACTTCCGACCTTGGACAGAGAGCCCCAAGTCCCGAATAATGCTCCAGATATGTGTTGACGAAAACGAAACCTCCACGAACGCATCCTCCAACATGGTGAGCAGTGGCCCTGCCAGGCCATAACACCGTGTCGAAGCCCTGGGCGCCCGAGAGGCCGATGTGCTTGGGTACCAACGTAGCGAGCCCGCCTGAGAGGCCCTCAGTGCTTTCTGGAGCCCCAGGAGGCAGACTGGCAGAGTACCCAGACCTACGAAGTTGATCTTCATGTGAACCGCACTGCGAGCGAGCTAGGTGTGTCTCTTGCACTCCGATGCAGTCAAAGCGCGCCTCACACTCCTGCGCTCGCTCGAAGCTAGACCAGGTAGTAATGTTGGCGGTGAGGAAGACCCATTCCTTTGTCTTCTTCACCTCGGGAATGTTAGAGATCTGACTTCTGCTTCTTCTCATTCGTAGACCAACTGAACTGCTCTGTTCTGGACCTCTTGATGGAGTCGGCCACGGATCCAACCAACGCCCGACGCTGCTCAAGAGAAAGGCCCAGGTGCTGATTCTGGTCCATGAAATGCTGCAAGTTCTCGTCGGAGGCGTGCTGCTTGACCAAGAGTTCCGCTGTCTGGTGCGCCACATCATCTGCTTCAGCGAAGAAGTCGTCCTGCTCGTCCTCATCCATGTCGGAGTTGGAGGGCACGGACTCGACCGCTTTGACCGAGGCAGGAGCCAATGGCGGCAGCCGAACAGACGCACCAGGAGGACCGCCAAGAGGCTGAGCAGGGCACTGCGCATCCTTTGCAACTGTAGATAGATCAGCCGCATCAGGTGGCCGATCTTGATGCCGCGCACGATCGCGAGCATTGACCAGATCTCGGAACTGCGTGCTGAAGGACTGGTCGAGCCCCGAGAAACTGCGCAAGATAGCTTCCTCAGCACTCTTGACGTCCACGGGCTCATCTCCTGCCAAGCTTGTCCAAGCCTGCGCAGAACGTTGTGCGCACTGCTTCTCATCCAGCTCGAGCTGCTTGACCTCAGCACGCAACTGGACAACGCGCTGGAAGTTGAACGACAGCTGCTTCTCGGCCCTTTCGAGCTTCGCCTCGGCCGACACGAGCTTGCCTCGCACATCGTTGTGCTGCTGCTGAGCTTGGCGAGAGACGGCACTTGGATCACCGCTGCGAACTGCCCGAAGCTTGGCCAGCTCACGCTTCTGGGCCGCCGACATGAAAATGGCGGCTGCCTCGAACTGCTCATCGTCCATGTCCACAAGTTTCTGCATCTGATCAGAAGTGCACTGGGGAGTGGGCGCAGCGTTCCAGTTCCAAGTGCTTCGCGGTGCCTTGTGCCACTTACCTCCCCACTTCTTCCAAACGCCACCGTTGCCATTATCATCACCGTCACGAGCCCAAGTAGCATATGCATGATGCTGACCAGAGCTGTTGTTAGTGAGCCCATGCCCACAGTGCTTACAAAATGTATACCAGCTCGGATTTTTGCGGCAGCCGCAAGTCTCACAAACAGGCATGAGTGAAAGATGTCCGCAAAGCTTTTGCGCAATGGTAGCTCTGAAAGGAGAGCTGCCCACTCAAGTGTACAGTACACGGGTGTGTCCTATAACTTGAGCCACAATGGCTTGAGCCAAAATGGCTACGGACTCCTCCTCCTCCTCTCCCTCCTCCTCCTTCTACTCCTCCTCCTCCTACTTCCGCCTCTTCCTCCCTTCTCTCTGCCGGCGGGGCCCCGCGCCAGCCGGTCTCGAGATGGACGGCGGGGCGCCATTCGTTCCTGCGGCCGGAGACGGCCGAGTCCTTGTTCTACCTGCACAGGCGCGACCCCACCGACAGACCGGCCGCCGTCGCCGTCGCCGTCGTAGTCGAGCTGTCGCCGTCGCCGTCGTGGTCGTAATCTTCGCCGTCGCAGTCGTCGTCGTTGCCGTTGCCGTCGCCACTGGTGTTTTCGTCGCCGTCGTCGCCGTCGCCGTCGCCGTCGCCGTCGCCGTCGTCGCTCAAGGGCTTCTGTGCAGGAGTTTGCACAGCAGCGTGGCACCAAGTGGATGCCTCGTCGTCATTTTTTACGGAGCAGCGCCGCAATTGCTTGCAAGTATCGTCGGAAGAGGGCGCGGAAGCTTACCAATCGAATTGGACGAACTAGGTCATGGGTCCTGCTTGCACGCCATCCATGGCGACTCTTGTTTGACCCCAGTTGGAAGAACAACGGGCAGGCAGATATTTGCAAGCGTGGACTCCAACCAGTGAGTTCTTGCACCTTGGATGTGACATATGGGGTGCAAGGGGTGAAATCTAAGTGGTGCAGTCAATCACTTGCTCAACTTGAAGCTGTCCTCTCCACTGCTCGCGCAAACATCCCACCCTCCCACCCGCAACTTGGTTTGCAAAACCTCTTCAGACCGACA